TTAACACCAGGAACCAAAACTACCCCCCATCACCCATCCCCGACGGCAAAACTCTCAAGTTCAACATTGAGAGCACAATTCCAACGAGCGCTCATCACCTCCACCTTCCCCTTCCTCTCAAGCCTTGCACCGGGTGCCCTGTCTCCACCTGTGGTCCCATATGCACGAAGAACCAACCAATGCAAACCAACCAGGACCCACCACCAACCGCCTCTCCCGTCCAAACTGCTACATTTGTTGCAAGCCAGTGTTCTCATGGCTGGTCTTCACTCACCATCCAAACTGCTACATTTGTTGCAAGCCAGTGTTCTCATGGCTGGTCTTCACTCACTGTCCCCGCCCCCTGGTCTAGAAGCTGCCCAGAGACCACATTCTTAATGGCTGCCTGCTCCCCTGGGGATTCCGAACTCTTTCTCACAGTAAGCCCTCCCTGCCCACTGGAAACATGTGGACTTTGGTCATCCTTCCCACACCCAGCTTTTGTTTTGGTCTTGGTGGCTCTCGTGCGGCCGCTGTGGCCAGTGGGCTGCCCTTGGTCAACCCCATGGAGAGGATGGAGAGGAGGGGACGGCCAAGGAGGGCAGGACCCGAGGGGACAGTCACGTCCAGTCTCCACTCCAAGGCCAGTGACCTCCTTCACGCTAAAAATACTTATGGGAAAAAAAAAGTTTCTCTCTGTAACTTTTAAAAAAAGGAGTTTACAAAACAACTGTACTCTTGCTTCCGGATTGAAACTATTTTTAACACGTCTCTGGGGGTGAAATGTTAACTTCTGGGATGGAGTGTCTTTTTTTCCCCCCCTTCAGTGGGGAAGAAGGGGTGGGAACAGGGTATGAAGACCCCAGAGCCGGGCCGGGCCACGCTTGCAGGCGGGGCAGCCGTGACTGGCATCAGACTCGGGGTTCGGCCTGGCAGTGTCGGGGGGGGGGCACCCCAGGAGGTTCCTGGGAAAGGGGCAGCCCCAGGTTCCGGCTGGGTGTTCCCCAGCCTGCAGGGAGCTAGCTGTGACTGCGAATTCCTGATGCTCACTGGGGACCGACATGACACCGAGACACGGTGTCTCTGGGCCTGGCCTCCCTCCGCAGGAACTCTCGCCCACCCTGGAACAGAATCTCCTGCAGCCTAAGGGTTTGGATGCTTCAGCCAAAGGTCACCTGTGGTCCTGGGGAAAAGCAAAAGCGAGTACAAATGGCACAGTAGCCATCCGGGAAGTCACCTCCCCCCGGGACCGACCGAAAAGTGGGTCTATCCCCCTTCCTCACGGACAAAGACAATCTGTAACCTGTGGCCGTAAAAATAAAAACTGTGCAGAGGTAATAAAAATAACACCTGACTCAGGCGCCCAGTAAACAGAAAACAGAGACCACTCAGCCATTACAAACAAGAAGAAGAAGAAAACTGTGCATCTTGGGAACGTCTCCCTTTGTTGGAAGGACGCCTTGTTGGCATTTTTGTACAAAAGACTTTGACACCCAGTGATTGAATCTTAATACTAAGGACCTCACTTCCAGGGGGGGTGTGGGGGGGCCCTGGCAAGCAAGGACCGAAACACAGCAGACTAAGCCTCTTGGCCTCCTGCACGGGCCTCGAGGACGGTGACCCCTGGGGTCTGACCGTCCCAAGGCACGCTCACCACCTTGTCTGCTCAGGCAGGCCCCTGGGGACCGACCGAGCCATTTCCCAGATGGGGGAAACTGAGGCACAAAGACACATAACGCCTTGCCCGTGGAGAAGCGGTCGGTGAGGGACTCTAGCCGAGACGTCTGGTTTTGATTCAAAATTAGTGCAAAGCCCCTCGCCGCACACAACCACAGATGTCCATTCGGGGTGAAGAGTCCCTTCGCTGAAGTCACTTTCCAGGGTAAGTCAGCGGCTGAAATCCAAGGCCGTTTGCTTCCACCGGTAAAGTAGTTCAATCTTTGATGGCCTGTTCCTGCCCCCAACAAAACTGTTCTCTTTTCTTTTTTTTAGTCATCACCTGAAAATACGTTTACTGATTTTTAGAGAGAGAGAGAAGCATGACCTGACTGCCTGCTATACACGCACTGAGCAGGGATCAAACCCGCAAGCTTCTGGGGTACTGGACGGTGCTCCAACCAACTGGGCCGCTGGGCCAAGGCTACACTGTTGCCTTCGGTAATGTATCCCTGCAGTGACGACACAGAGTAGCACCCGCCCAGAGCACTTTGTTATCTAATACGGTGGCAACTAGCCACGTGCACCATCCAACGCAGGAATTATGGCCACAACCATCCAAAGGATGGAATCGCTAGTGTTACTGAATTGTAACTAACTTGAACCTAAAGACACGCCTGTGTTCAGTGGCTACCACGTAGGGCAAGGAAGTGACACAGGAGACAATCACTCAGCTGTGGTGTTTCCCCATTGTGTTCAGATGCGCCTATAAGTACACACAGGTCTCAATGGAGATCCCGGCTTCTACGTGTGTGTACTTTAAAGAGCTTTGGTCTCCAAATGGGAACATTCACACGAGGGAGTCAAGGGAGGCAAGACAAGGCCTCGGTGAAGAGCTTGGCTTCAGGAATGAGAAGATGCTTGGCCACCATGCAGGTACCAGCAGGTCGCTTAGCATCTTGCAGCATCCGGCCGCCTTGCTGCAGGTAGGAAACAATCACTGTTTACCACAGGGTGTCAGTCCCTATAAATTCCTCGGGGCATGGCATTCAAGCCAGCACAGCCGACAATTCTTCTATGCACACAAGTGCAACAGCTAAAATTTACGGGCACCTTGCAGTTTTCCAAAACTTTCCCATACACCCTCCTGGTGTCCTCACATTGCCCCAGGGAGCACCTCACCTTCTGCTCGCTTCCCCTTACATTTTCACAGTCACAGAAAACGGCGGGACTTCAAGGTCAATGTGGCGGAGGGAGCAGTCTCTTTCACTGGCTCAGCCAAAGGAGGCTGCTTTGCTAGTCCCATGTAGCCTGGCAAAAGGGACTTGGACGCCGGGGCCCCTACTTGCCACCGAGGGGGGGTTGGTTTCACTGAAACTTTGGAGACAGCCCTGGGGACTGGCTCAGGATGCCATCACACAGGTGACAAAACTCCAGCTCCTGCAGGTAGAGGTGATACTCGAGTCCCACGAAGACATCAGGCCCACAAAGACGCCCCCTGCACGCGCCACCCTTACACAAACGCCCGGACTTCCCGCAGGGATCAGGTTTGGGAGAGTTGGCAATGCACGTGTGAGATTTCAGTGGGGGTGCCGGTCACAGCTGGACAGACCCACAGCACCAACCGCCTCCGTCCAGTGAGACTCGCTGGGGAGAGGCCCCTTCCCTAAGCAGGGCCTGCCTCTCCCCTGGTGCCCTGCAGGCCCGATCGAGTCTCTGGGTGGATTTGTTAACCAATATCTACCCGTCACTGGGAGACACACGGGACCACCTCACTGCGATGCTGGTGTGGGCGGATGCGCTACCAGTGCAAGGGACGAAATGACCCCAAATTTGGAACCGTGCCCTTTCCAGTCTCTTCCTAAGGTGACCGTCATTTCTTTTTTGAAATGACCGACAACAGCAAACACTGAGCCCAGCAAGGGGGCAAAATACACACGGCCAGATACAAAACACCGAAAGTTGCCCTTTCTCCGTGGTGCATGCTCACTTACCAGCTGCAGTCCCCTTGAGGGGCCATTTTTCATAAGTGGGTCGCCGGATGAAGTTCAAGTTTTTTCCTGATGACGCCTACCCAGCTAGGTGGCTTTCCAATCAACTCTGCAGCTCCCTGAACGCATGAACATCTTTTACAATTTAAAAACATCACCTTCAGGTCTTCGGCATTCTTTGTTTTCCCCTCCTCCCTAATCGCATCTCTCGGAGGAATGACTCAGTTGTAAAGTTTTCATGAAATCCTCTCAGGCATTCCTAGCCGCAGGCCAAGGCTTGGAGCCTCAGCCCAGCGCCCCCTTCCCTCCGGGTCCCGAGTCCCGCCCTTCCGCCTCCAGGTTACACCAGGGACTCAGGCGGCGCCCAGAAGTCAGGTTGAGTCACGTGTGACCATGCAAAGCAGCGACAGTGGCAGTGGCGACAGGGGCTGGGTTTTTCTTTCTTTGGGGGGGGGGGTCTGCTCCACTGGGAGGGGGAGGCACCTCCAACTCGCCCAACTTTGAGGAACTTCCAAGGCACTTGGCTGAGAGCACGCGAGGCCAAGCACAGAGCGAGCCCGGGCCCGGGGCCGACCGTGCACAGGAGAAGCACGTGAAGCCCAGGCCCTATCCCAGCGCGGGGGGGCCTGTACCGACCCCAAAGTGTCACGTACCCCATGGCCACAGGCACCCGAAGATGCACCCCCTGCCGGTTCAGAGCACTGGGCCCCAGGACTTGAAGTCTCCTCAGTAGGAAGGGCCCAGGAAGCGAATCTTGGGAGTCACCCCTCCCCCGAGCCCGCGAGCAACAGGTCTGCACCCTGCGCGGCAGCGCCAGAACGGGGGTGCCCCCCATCCGCCGAGGCCACGCCCCGCCTGGTCCCTTTGCTCGGGCCCCGGGGCTCCCGACTTCCTTGACAGTTTCTGCGCCCCGGAAACAGCAGCCACGGCGCACCGCGCAGCCACTGGGTCCGGGGCGGGCGGGCCGGCCGGCGCCCGGGATGAATGGGGCTCCCCTCCCCCACGGGGGCGCCCGCGGCGCAGCAGATTCACCCACCAGCCCCAGGGGCGGCAGACAAAGAAGACCAGGGGCACAGATCCAGGGCCTCCCCAAACTTACCGGCCGCCTCCCCTGCCCAAAAACAAAGGAGCGACCCCCCCCAGCCTCCGCCTGCGCCCCTCGTGCCGGCACTTTGGGGAGCGGCCACATTGAGGTATTGTTTAGCCTGCAGGGAGCGCGCCGCACCCCCGCCCAAGCCCCGGCGACAGTTGGGGACCTACCCCTCCAGAGCTCCGGCGGCGGGCGGAGCGTTTGGGCGCCCTCAGCCGCCGGCCGGGCCCCCCCCACCGCCTGAGAACTTTGCGCCCCCGGCCCAGCCAGCCCCGCGCACTCACCTCGCCGCAGGCAGGGCAACTTGTGGGGCGCCGCCGTGCCCGAGCCTCCCTCCGGCTGGCCGTGGCCGAGCCGCAGCCGAGAAGGGCCCGGCGCCCCGGAGCAGCCGCGTGCCGCCTCCGGGCCGCCCCCGCCCCGCCGCCGCTGAGTCCCGAGAGGCGCGGGAGCTGGAAAGTTTCGGTGCCGAATGGCGGCCGAGGCGCTGCGGCGGCGGCGGCGGGGCGGGGGCGCTGGCGGCTTCTCGCTCCCAAGCGCAGAGAGTGTTGGAGGGGGGGGGGCCGGGGCGGGAGCAACGGCAGCGGCGACAGAGGGCGGGACGGCGGGAGGGACGGGCACGGCAGTGACCTCCGGGGGGAGCGGCTGCCGCCAGAGCGCCGACCCCGGCCGGGAGGACTGCCAAGGGGGCCGCTTTGGCCGCCCCTCCCCCAAGCCCCCACCCCCTGAGAAGGGCCTCCGCGCGTCCCAGTCGGCCCCTCCCCTGCGCCCCAGGGGACCATGTCCCAAACCAGCCACTCCCCCACGGAGGATAGGGACCCCGGGCCTGCCCCTCCCCCCAGCGACTGGGAAGGGAATCCGCGCCCTAGCCCCGCCCCTCCCCCAAGGCCTGTGCGGAGGATCTGGGTCCCAATCCAGCCCCTCTCCAAACCTAGGAAACCTGCTACCCTGCCCAGTCCCTCACCCCAAGCTCTCCCCTGCCCCCACGCCTAGGATGGGTGCGGGGAACCCTGCCCCTTTTTGTGGCCTCCAGGGGGCAGGAAGAAAACGTGGGCCTACCCCCACCCAGTCCCAAACTCAGCCTTTTCCCCCACTGCCCCGAGGGGACCGGAACCGGGCCACCCCCTCCCCCAAAGTTTCCATAGGACCGGGGAACCAGGGCCAGTCCTGGAGTGTTATTCCGCCCTCCCCCACCTCAAAGAAAGAGCCGCCCGAGTGCCCTAACGGAAACCCGCCTGGGGTGGGGGGCAACGCCCGCCAAGTCGGCGGCCTCGAGGACACCCCGAAGGCCTCTCCCCCCTCCCCCTAAAGTGGGAGCCTCCCCGTTTGCAAAACACCCCCTGGTTGGAGCCAGGAATGCTTGGGGAGATAGAAACTCGGACCCTACGCACACGGGTGGAGGCCGGGAGCTGGGGTTTGGGGGCTGTGGGGATTGGGGGACCCCCCACCCTCCTCCCACCCCCACCCCCCGCCGCCACCCACACACAGGCTTCAGGCCTCGGGCATTTCCAAAGGGTTTTTAGGTTGCAGGGGCTGACTCGTCCCAGCCTGCAGCGCTGTCGTCCCCAGCGTCCCTTCCTCCCCTCCAATTCGGTGACAAGGACCCACCCCTGGTGGCCTCGATTCAACAGATATCCGCGCCCGCCGCCCCGCACCTTCGGAGTCGGCTTTGTGGCGTATTTCGGGCCCACAGAAGTTGGCCCCTCCCCGGGGTGTATCCTAAGCTCCGCGTTCAGAGCTCAGTACACTCAGCGTTTCCAACTGTAACCTCACTTGCTCTTTTTCTGGGACAGTGAACCATTTGTTGTTCTTGGTGCTGCGGGTGGGGGGAGGGGTCCCGGGGCGAGTTTCCTAAGGGGCTGGTCCTCCATCGAAAAGGCGGCCCTGAAGATTCCCCCTGCCGTAGGCTGCTGGAAAACGTCAATGATGCAAAAAACGAAGGTTGCTACACCATTATGATAGAGCACATCAATAAAAAAACACGCACTTACACAGTCTCCATACTTGTGAATCAGCAGAATAGATTGTGCCTTATTACCTATCAGTTGCCATTCAAGGCCCCCCACAAGGACGTGGCGAGGGGGGGGGCCTTCCCTGGAGCCTGCCCCTCGTTGCTCCGGGGCTCCCTGGACTGGAGCGGGCTGACGCCGAGAGGTCTTAACAGGCCACCGAAAAACCGAGGGTGCAATAGAAAACCAGAGCGAGCTCATGATGCAACCCTGCCCCGGTTACACGTGCTTCCCTTCCCCCCACCGCCTGCTGAGGGCAGCGCCGCGTTTTTTCCGCCTGTAGGGTCACATTGTGGTTGATTGATTCTCCTTTCGCCTTGCTCAGTCATTCAGATTTGGAAAGTAAATAACAAGTTGACAGCAATACAGCTTTAGGCTTTACCCGGACGCGGCTCTCTGCTACCGCACACTCTTGAGTAGCCGCGCATCAAAAAAAAAATTTTTTTTTTTAAATTAAGTTTTAAAAAAACACACACAAACTGACTCGTTGAGCCAGCCAGCCTTCTTCAACGTTAAGAGGCTTGGAAATTCCGAACTGCACTTGGTTTAAAACCTCTTTGTGTGTTCGGATTACTGGACAGACCCCAATGATTTAAAGTATGGGAAAAATGATGGAAAGGGTCACTCCAAACCGCAGCTGTTCTTCATTAAGTAACAAAGCAGGTGAGCTCAGAATCCGTGTTGCCTGTTTGCAAAGGTCCCAAGAATCCCGTGGGTCTTCTTGCAGATTAGGAGAAAATGGGCCCGCCCCTACCGGGTCCCGGAGCTTCCAGCCTCCAGGACCGTGAGAACCTCCGTTTCTGTGGTTTAAACCGCCCACTCAGTGGTACTTCGGTCCTGGCAGCCCCGAAGGCATGGGAGACCAAGGCATGGGAGTTATGGCTACGTTTCTCCATTTGGAATGTCCCGTTCACTTCACGTCGCTTGGACACTGAATTCACCTTGCATCTGGCATGGGGGTGTTCACACTCAGCATTGACCTTGGTCCTCCTAGTAATACTCACTGGAGGGCAGGCGCTTTCATCTCCACCATTCAGAGCAGACTGGCCCCAAGTGCGTAAAAATATTGAGGGAGGAGCTTTGTAGCCATCTCTCGGCCTGACACCTTCTTCTGCAATTTAGGGGCTCTTGTTTCTAAATGCATAAAATGATGTCAAGCCCCGCCCACAAATATGTAAAACAACACCGAGGATCCCACGAACCCCCCAGTTACGTTTAAATAGTTATCAGATGTCCCCAGAAGTCTAATGGAGTGAAGCATGTCCCTCCTTTTCAGTGCTTCCAGTGCTAAGGTCTCTGGAGGTGATTCTGGTAACTTCTGCCTCCTCAGTGAGGCTGAGAGTGCACAGAGCCTGCTCCGACTGTGACCTGCTCTCAACATTTGTCACACGTCTGCTGGGGACGCACTGGATAAGAATGAAAGATACTGTGAATGCTACTGCTTGTCATTCTCTGTGTGCAGAGTTGCCAGAAATACCACATTTCAGTCAGGGGTGAGTGGCCCCCCAGCTGCGGGGGGTTTCCCATGCACCTTCACACACCCCTGCCCCCAAGTCCCTGCCTGGGGACCTTCCTGCTGAGGGGGCAGGTGCGGGCTGGAACCCGTGCTCCTTCACTGGTGACAGCTCTGCCAGAGCCAGTGTCCTCTCCCAAATTGTCACTCACGGTTACTCTCCTGCCTGTTGCAGAAAGCGTGCTGACCCGGGGTCTCTAGCTTGTTAACTTCATCCTAGGACACTTGGATGGGTTCTCACAGCAGAGATGCCTGGGGACTCCGGCTGTCACCTGCTCAGGGAGGGTAAAGGTCACCAGAAGACTCAGTAAGATGACAGGTATTCTGTGAGCAAAGACGGAGGTAAAGGGATAGTAACTATGTGTCTCCTATGTAAGGAGGTAAAGGGATAGTAACTATGTGTCTCCTATGTAAGGAGGTAAAGGGATAGTAACTATGTGTCTCCTATGTAACACAGTTTCTTTACGGTTGCCTACACATCTGCAAAGATGACCTCCCCAGTTGTCATAGCAACCTCGGAAGTGGTTGAGGAGATGCAGGGTGATCATCTTCATTTGACACAGAAGGGAAGGGGGGTCCTAGAGAGTCTGGACTGCAGCGGTCACAGATCACCGCACGCTTCCTGGCTCCAGAGCATGCATTCTCAGCCCGCTCCGAGGTCAGAGCTCCGAGGTCAGGGGTCTCACGGGACTTTGGTGTCTAGGGCCTGTGTTCCCTGGCAGGGGCCCCCCTTCAGGTCTTGTGCTTCTCACAGCCTGCTATTCCTGCCTGCTCCTCTTCCTCCCCCTTCTTCCAATCTCCCTCCCTGGGCTTGGGCCAACCGCGTAATCCGGTGTAATCTCCCCACCGCCAGCGCCAGAATTTAGTCACATCTTCAAAGTCCCTTTCGCCACCATGGAGGTGACATCTCAGCTTCAAGGGCACCAAGCTGTGGGTGTGTGCAGGGGCCGCATGCTACCCTCTGCTAGTGGCCTTGTAGGATGCCTTATCCCACGAGGGGTCACGGACCACTCAAATCCAGCTCCTCCACTGGCAGACCCCATGGGCTTCCCAGCAGGACATACTTTCTCTGCCTCAGGAAATCATTTCAGAGTTCACCCACCCCGCAATACCCCAAAACGCAGCAAAAAATGCTGCCCGCCTTCACGCCAAGTGCACGGGGGCAGCCAGCGTCCCGCTTTCCCCCAAATAACACACGGCTGCCTAGTCACAGAATAACAGGAGTTACAATTTTCACAGGCCATCTCTTCCCCTCTCTCTTTGGAAACTAACTATATTTCGTTGTAAGAAGTTAGGTGATTTTTTTCCTCCCTTCATTTTTCTGGTGAGTTTCGTGTTTAAAACTCACCTTACAGACCACACTGACAAAGACAGGATCCAGCTCAGTTGCTGAGAGCGCAGTCTTGATGTGCCCAGGTTGCAGGTTCGATCCCCGGTCAGGGCACATGCGAGAATCGACCAGTGAATCCATGACCAGGTGGAACAACAAATGATCTCTCTCCCTCACACACTCCCCCCTCCCCTCCCGGAAAACCAATGAAAAGAAAAACGCAGGTGGAATGTTTGCGTTTTCCTCTGATGCCCTTGTCCTAAAGCCTTTGCGATGATGTCATTTTGTGAAATGATAAGCCCCCATAAGGTCATGGGCAAATACACTCCCAGCAATCCCCCTCCGAGAGAAATAAAAGGAGCTCTGGCTGAGGTAGCTCAGTGGATTGAGCACCAGCCTGTGAAGCAAAGGGTAGCGGTTTGATTCCCAGTCAGGACACATGCCTGGGTTGCAGGCCAGGTCCCCAGTAGGGGGTGCATGAGAGGCAACCACACATGGATGTTTCTCTCCCACTCTGTCTCCTTCCCTTCCCCTCTCTCTAAAAATAAATAAATAAAATATTTTTTAAAAAATGAAAGGAGAGTTTCACGCAACCATCTGTCAGCAAACAGCTTCATTTGCACTCGTCAAAGGCTGGGCACACGGCAGGTGACAGGAAGGCCGGGGCAGGTGAAGGCACCACGGTCT